CGTCTCACCTCGCCATGGTGCTCTCTGGGGCTCTGTCTCGACCAGGCTTCGGCCTCTCGAGGCAGAGTGCGAAAGAACGAGTGATCGAGAGGAAGGAGCTGAGCAGACATTTAAAAATTATGGCTGACAACATTATAGTAGATGTCACAGGAGCAGGGGATTTCGAAGCCCCCAGCCCCGGTGCAGCAGAAATGCCTCGGCAGGTCGCGAGGAGACTGCCGCAGCAGGTGTTGGTCCTGGGAGACGCGAAGTCCACGCTCTGGGGCTGCCCCCGGACCAACCCGAGAGGAAAAGCGGTGGAAGACTGGGCAGCAGGATTGAACCTTCGTCTGCTGAACACCGGAAGAACTAACACTTGCGTGCGCTGGCAGAGAGAATCGATAGTGGATCTATCGTGGGTATCACGCCCGCAGCAAAGACGGGCTGGAGAGTGGTAAAGCTGGAGTCGCTCAGCGACCATCTCTATATCATGGTCGAGCTTCACCCCGCCAGGAGACGCGTCGACGACCGACAGCGGCACGAGGGGCCGCTGCCCGCGAGATGGACGCTGAAGAGGATGGACGTTGACATGTTGATGGCCGCGGTTTATACCGCAGCATGGGAAGAGCCGCCGGCAGACCCCGCCTGCGACGTCGACAAGGAGGCAGACTGGTTCCAGAAAAAGCTGACCGAGATCCGACGTCGCTGTCACGTAATAAATAACACTTTTAATATGGAAAGAATCTCGATTAGCCAAAGCTGTTCGAGCGACTTTATTTATTCACAAATGATTTATACAAAGTATGGAGCAAACACTGAATCGGAGCTGGTCACGGTTTCAGAACTGTAAGACTCAAGACTGACCTGGGCGGCTGGAGGAGCCTCTACTTATACTGAACCTTATCCCTGTTCATTATGGGTGGCCATTGGTGATTAAAGAGGTTTGGCTCTCATCCGATGACGGGTGAGAATCTATGATGTTTGTATCTGGAGTTTTGGAGTGTCGCAGAGGTCTGGCTCTCGTCCGATGATGGGTCTATGAGGTTTGCATCTGAAGTTTTGGCGTCACATCGCCATGCCACGCGCCAGACGAGCGCACCGTGACTCAATTACTGGTCGCCGGAGATCGAGCGGAAGAGAGACAGCTGCGCTGTGGCTCGTCGAGCGTTCCAGCGAACGAGGAGAAGGAAGCGCCGAGACGCCGCGAGGGAAGAGGCGCTCTACGAACGGTAGGGTGAAGGTAACGAACCTTCAGAAGACGACACGGTCGGCCAAAGTTCGCGCGTGGGATGAGCTTATCGGCACGATGGACCGCGACCCGTGGGGAAGGTCATACCGGCTGGTGCTCGGAAAACTCCGGCCGAAAGAGCCTCCAGCGACGGAAGCCCTAGACCGTGTTTTCTCTTTTTCTTCGTTTAATAACACCACTTATGTCAAGAATGTTGCTATTATATCACTAAGTTCATTTTCACTTGAAGTGTTACTTGGTATATCCGACAGATCATCAAACAATAATTCATTTTGAATTCCATTTTCTTCATTTCTATGAGACATATTGCTACTTTTTTTAGAATTAGGGTCTATTTT